ACACGGGGAAAATACAGGGAAAAACCAAAAGAAATAATAAACACGAATTGCAAATATTTGTAAGCTTTCATCGGGAAAAATTGGTGTGCCGGCCAATAAGGTGTTGACGGAGGCAAACAGAATTAAAAATTGTTTTTGTGCTGTTATTGTGTTTTTAGTGCCAGTTAAACAGGAGAAAAATTCACTTTTCCCTCATCTTTTTTCAGGTGACATAAACGGAAATTACGCATACGCCCTGTTGGCAATTTTTATAAAATTTAATCCAATGAAAATAACAAAAGAAAGAGTGGGCTCGAAATAAAATTGAATCTCGAAATGGATGTGGTGACAATTAATAAAACCCTTGGTCTTCATTTTGCATCACAATTTTACCCCTGTTTACTTTATTATGCGTAAGAGATTATAATGGCATTAATTACGTATACGCACAGGTGAACTCGGCATAAGGCACGATGGGCACTTAATTAGTGTGTGTGTGTGTCTATGTGTGTGTCGACCTGTTTGTTTATGTTTAAATGTCTGACGGCTTTGGCAAACATTTCCCTACATTTATTCGCTTATTCTGTGTTTGTTTGCCTTTTTTATGAAAACGTTTTTGAATTTTTACAGGGACTTACAGATGCTCTGTTTATTGAAGGAGATTTATTCAAAACAGATGGTACCCGAAAAATTAAAAATATCCGCTTTTACTATCAAAACTGTTTTTCAATTTTATTGTTTACAAATTAAAAACAAATTAATTGCTCGTAAAAATGTTTTTAAAAGCATATGAAAATTTTGTATGTGCTTTTTTCAATCAAAACACTTTTTCCAATTTTATAAGGGTATTTTTTTTATAAGAGATTTTTGAGTAATTTTTTTTCCCCAGAAAGTTACATAAATTCAACTAAATTACAAGTAAAATGAACTAAAAACAAGAGTATTGATGCTTCACATTTGACAAATACAATTTTGGGACTTGCTCGCTTTGCAATTTTGTTTTCTGTTATTCAAAACGATCGCCCATGCTAGAGGGTAAACGCACAGAGTTTTTCATATTTTTGTCAGCATGACATTTGAATTTGCATAATTAATCAATTAATGCTGCGATTTTAGAGGGGAAATGAAAATGCCTGGCGTCACGTGCATAAATTTTGCTCATGTGTTTTTCACTCGTTTCGTTTTCAATTTCATTTTTGAATACAATTTTTAAGCCGCGCACGTGCTTCGACATGACTATGCCTGATATATATGCAATCTGCATGGTATACACATGTGCTCATACGTGGACATCTACAGATATGTATACCCATATCAAAAACTAAAAGGGGAACATTTAATTTGATATGCGCTTTGTTTGCCCAACGACATGGACATGTCAATTATTTAATGCTTAACGTTTAGTGCCTTATTGCATTTTAATTTTCCATTTTGCCATTTGACTCGATGCGTTTTTATCGCCGGCCATTCGATATTCACACAAATTACGTGACGAGAATGCCAAAAGAGAAGTACTTGCTATTAAATTAGGTCCATAATGTCTAATATTGCGATGCTAAATGAGATGTATTTGTAATTTGATGATAGGCAATAATTTAAAATGTTTAAATATGTGCTTTAAACAGTGAAATATTGAAAGGTTAAGCTTCAACTTGACCAGCAAAAGTTTCATTTTACTTATAATGAGTTTCGTATTCTAACTACAATAAAACTTAAGGAGATCATAAATAATAAATTCCCTGTTTGTTTAAAATAGAATTTTAACGATTATTGTTATAGAAAACACATCAAATTAATAGCCAATAAATACGGAACTCGTTCGAAAAATAAATTAAACAAAATTTGAATAAACTGCAAATATTATTTATTTACTTAACAATTTTATGTCGTATTTATTGATCATTAATTTTATGATTTTGCCTTATTTCACAATGTTGTGCTAAGTGCGTAATAGATTTCGATTAAAAAAATGATCTCTACTACCAGAAAAAATTGAAAAATGATTTTTGAAAAATTTGCTTTTGGGTGACCCATTTTCAAGTTGTTCCGACTTATATATTTGGTCTAAGAGATATGGCCATACGACATTGGGCTGTCAAGAGGTTTTAGTGCTTCCCCTCGTTTTTCAGTTGTTTATTTTGGTTGAGGGGTTCGTCATTAGACGGCTACAGCCTAATGGACCACGCCTTTTACCCCCCTCAAAACCCCCCCGTTTTCTTTTTTTCCACCCGTTTTCCACACGTTTTCCTCAGTTTTCCTGTCATGTTTCACCTGCCAGTTGAATTGCATTTGATTTGATATTTGCTGTCATCTGTGCGTCGTTTGCTGCTCTTTATTCGGATTTTCACTCCTCTGTTGTTCTTAGAATCATTAGTTTGTTTTTTGGCCTTACCATATGTATCTGTATCTTTTGTCACGTTCGCCTCTCGATTTTCGTGATTTGGTTTTCATTTCTTGGGCCTCTGCTGTTTTCTTTCGGCTTCTTGTTGTCACACTCGCATCTATTTTTGGTACGAGCACAACAAAAATTAAATAAATAATATTGTCATTCTCTCAATTGCATTTGCGCTTTTTCACCCATGTTGCCTCAGATATTTCAACAATTTAATCCATTTTTTATGTCTTTATTCGCATGTGGCCCAAATGTTTTTCCTGCTTTATGTGGTTGACTAATTGTTAGGAATTTTGTCGTTTTCATAATACTTTTAAAAGGAAGTTTTCGTCACAGAATGGAAAATTATCTTAACAATTGGCATTCGAAATGTTTAGAAAGTATAAATCTATACTAAGAGCTATCTTTTAATATTATTTTTACATATCTTGCATATATCCACTAATTTGTTTCTATTTACATTTATACATTTTTGTACGCTTTAAAATTCAAGTTTTAAGATTACGCCTTGCTGTATTAAAAATTATTGAAATGAAATGTTTATGATAACATTTTTGCTGATGGATTGTAGGCTTACATCCAATTAAAAATCCATAAAAAATTAATAGCAGCGCTGGCCATTTTCGCCTGAATTTACACAAGAATCGACCTCCAAACAAAAGGCAGACGTAAAAATTATTGATTTGCGGTTGCAAATGTTTCAGCATCCAGCTATACATTGAGTATTTTATCTCACTATTTTTGCCCATTCCACTGGCAATTTAATTTCAATTTGTTGACCGCCTCATTTGATTTAAATGTTCGGGGAATGTAAATGCATTTCCACTTGAATTCCGAGATCTTATCTTGGCCAACAGTTTCAATGGGTTAAAGGGGTGCTCAAAAGGGGTCCCAGGAGGGGTTAAAAGCGGCATCGGGACAAATTCAGAGGAAAAATATTCCGATTGCTTGGCATTTGGTGACGTGCGGCGATCGCGTCCAACAGAAACAAAAATAAATAAATATAAATGTTGCGCATATAATCTATTTTGACTCAAGGTCGCGTCATCAGTTTCTGTTTTTTTCACCGCCGAAGAGGAAATTGTGGCGAAAAAGATGGGCAAATATTAAAAGAAATATGCGAAAAGTGGTAGAACATAAACATTGGAAAAATCAGGGGACTATAATGATGAAAAAACAAACAACTTGTTTCTAAATAAGTTCATAAATTTAAATATTTTAATTTACATTAAAATTGTTCATTTAATAAGATTTTACAATAGTTAAATTTCAAATATCATGTTTTCGATTTTAAGTATGCAAAATAATATATTTTTCAGATCAATCAATTTATTCAGATTTTTTAATTTTAATTAAATTTTCAGAAATTATTTTCTTTTGCTAAAAATAGTTTTTAGTTATTTGTTAATTTATTGTTCACCAACGGATATTTAAAAGAAATCCCTATCTGGTTTTTTTTTTTATCTAAAAAATTCGTTTTTAATGTAATGACTTTTAAAAGGCATATTACATAAATATAAATAGTTATTTAATTACTTATTAAATATTACGGAAAAAAACCTATAAATAACGTAAGACACAGACTCATTATTCTACATTTTAAACTCGCATAAATCAGCGTAATCAGGGCTTCATCTGCACCTTGATCTACATTCCAAGATCAAACCGAACCAGTTTGTTCTTCCGATCTCACGAAGATATCTCACCCAAAACACATGAATAGACGTTCTTTGAGGAAAGAAATAAATAGGGGAAAAAAAGCGACCGCGTTAGATTGTTCAATTATTCAATTGGGGACTTCGAGACGACGGCAAACAATTTTGATTATATTTATTAGATGCCGGATTAGCCAGCGTAGGCTCTTATGGCAATTGCGTTGAGTATACGCCATGTATGCGCCCCAAAGTAGTTTAATTTTTTCCATCACATGTGTTTCGCATTAGTTTTGTTTTTTATATTCGCTGGAGGGCAGAGGAATTGAAACGAAAATGAAAATGAAAATGTCTTGTGATGGAATTTAAATTGAAATGGATATTTTGATCGTCTCTGTTGAGTAGTAGGGACATCTTCTCAATTCCGTTCACCTTACCCACCCAATTCTTCTCGCCCGCCGACTATGCAAATGTAGCGGAAATACTGAACAAATGCCACTCGACTTGGCCCTGGATCATACTATATGCCTGACTGTATATATAAATACCGGCCAGAGATGTTCCTGAATGATCTCTCGAAAATTCTGCTCAAGTGTGTCACTTGAAGAGCGTACAAAACAAATCAATTGATTTGAGTATATTTGATCAGCTCTCCACTCGACGCTCAAAAGATATTCAAATCTATTTTGCAAAAAAAAAAAACATATTCAAATAAATTAAGATCACGAAGAGATGACTTCAAACACTAAAGCACAAAAGAAATATCGAAAGAGCAAAAGCCACAATTTTATCTAATAAAATAAAAAGTAAGGAACAACAGTTTATCTTTCTTAAACTTATTTTTTGTTTCCCATCAATTTTGTGTCTCTTTGAAAAAGTGTTTAATGAATATTGCCATATTTTAAGTGATTCTTAGAATAGAACATATTTATTTGATTTTGAAATCATGCAAATATTGATATTAATTCAATTTATACCTGGAATAATCGCGTTGTGTTTTTATGTTTTGTTAATTGTTGAGTTTCGCCGGCTTTTTTTGCTGCTAATTATATTTTGGTCATGCCAGCAAATCCATCAATTACAGATGCTTTTGTGTTTTTGGACATTGAGTATTTATTGTTGTTATTCAAACATTTTTATATATTTTTATGTATTTTCATTTTAAAATTTTCCATACTATCGCAGTTTCTATCACAATTGTCAACATTTGCAAAAAAAAATAAAAAAATATGAATACTTTGCACTATTTTTGTGGTGCAAACGAGAAAACGTGTACTCAAAAATAAATAAAACAACTTAAGTAAAAAACCGAGCGCGAAGAAAAAAATCAAATGGCATTTGTTTGACACTAGCCGTTGGGCTTTTCTAGTTTTTCACCGAAACAGCGGCCGAAATTATACGACAACAAAAAAACAGAAATTGAAAAAGGTATCGACGCAAATGGAAAGCAAAATATTTGCATCTAAATAAAGGCTCAAAACCGATCAATTGTGCAGTCATCGGAATCAGCAGATAATATGATAAAAACGGAATTGATTAAATTTGATTGTGTTTTGCAAGTGGACCATTAACTCAGTTGATTTGTGTTCTCTCTGTTTTTATTATTTAATATGCCATTTAATTGAAGCTTTGCCATTTATATTTAATGTCATATTTAACTGCATTTTAAATTTTTGCAAATAATTGGATGTTTTAAACACTTGTTTATGGGCTATAATTATTTTTGCCAATTATTTTCTTTTAATGAGCTCACTTTCGTTTATTATTAATATTTTTGATTATTTATAAAAATATACTGTTTGTATGTTAATATTTTAAAAGGTTTTTATTTACTTTAAATGAAAAATCAAAATCTGTATCAATGCTAGATTTAAATTTTCTTCCTTCAAGAGTGTTATATTACTTTAAATACAATTAATATTATGCACATGATTCAGGAATCTATGAATCTTATTATTTTGTGGGTATAAATATTACTGGACAAAAATTTATAAATTTTAAATTTATTTATTTAATCACTACTTGATTGTTTAAGGCACTAAATTAATTTATCAGAGTGTTAGTTTTAATTGCAAACGCTTCTTATTTCACACCTACTCAAAGTGTTACATATTATTGTTATAATTTTTCACAGCACATTAAATAAAAATAATAAAAAAAAATAATATAGTTTTTAACAGCACACATACACGCACCCGAAATTACTAAAGAGAGAGAAAAAGATGGGATCGTATCGGCTGGGCGAAGATCACGCCAGAGCATCGCGAGGAGACTGAATCCCCCGATCGGCTATATCGCATATATGGCCGGACGTCGGGCAGGTGTGCGAGCGAGAGGGTGTGGGAGAGGGAGAGTGAGAGGGCGCGTGGGGTCTCATCTCGGCAAATAAGAAAACATCATCATCATACGACCGCCATTTAATTTAAGCGAATTCCGCTCGATTAACAGCTAAAGAACGAGGAACGGAACATACTACAAAATTCCGACCTCTTACAGGTGTCCGTTCTTGCAGCTTTTCTTCGAACATAAAATAGAAGACACATTTTATATCCCAAAAAGCATGGCCGAACTTAGCTTTCAACAGTGAACACACAAAATAATGACAGACATTGCTATGTAAATTTTGATTACCTAAACATATTAATATAATTTTAGACAAGATTTCATAAAGATCAGCCTTTTATAAGAAATTGTTCAAATCATTTCTAACTTTTTATCAGATTAAAATAAATATTTGTATAACGATATGCCCTTGACATAAAATTTTAATGTTAAAGAATTGAAAAACACAAGTACACATCAATGTTTAGAAATAGAGATCATAGACACCAGCCTTTTATAACAAGTTGTTCAAATCATTTGAAACTTTTTTTATACAAAAACTTTGTATTTGAAACTTTTTTTTTATACAAAAACTTTGTATTTTAAACTTTTTTTATACATTTTTTTCCCGATTTAAGTAATTATTAAAATTAAGATGTGCATTTGACTTTAAAAAATGTTAAAACATAGAAAAAAACAAATTCACATCAATAATAAAAACAAATAAATTGTGTAGTGCATTTAGTTCCTTTGAAAACGGAAATTAGTTTATTTGTTTAAACGATTTTTGAACACATTAAGTAATTTGTACTGTAATTTAAACACATTTTGGTTTAAAAATCAACTAAAGCTCTTGGGCAAACTTTCAACTTGGTTGTGAACTGCGATGTGAACATTACTTTTTGGGTGCAGGTGGTGCTGGTGTTTTGGTGGGTGGTTTTTGGGCGGGTGGTGCAGCAGCAGCAGGAGCGGAATTCGGTGACTTAGCGGCCTCGGAAACTGATGGTTTGTCCTTTTTATTGCCAATTTCCTTGGGAGCTTTGCCATCCTGGGGGGCCTTGGCATCTTTGGCGGATCCTTGGGGATCTTTAGCAGCCTTGGCCGAAGCCTTATTATCCTTCTTAGGTTCACCTTCCTTGACCTCCTTAGCTTCTTTTTCGACAACCGGCTCCTCTGTAATCTCGCTGGCCGGCGTCTTTCTGGGCTTGCCAAAACAAACCTCCGACAGTCTGATGTGCTCCAGATGATATCCGGATACGCCACGTATCTTAGCATCAACATTCTTGGCATATATATCGGTGTGGAGCTCGTGTAGATCCACCTCCTTGTCGGCGGCAGCCCTTTTGCACTCATTGTCGACATGCTTCTTGGTCTTGTCCTCCAGAATCTTCAACTCCTCCTCATCGGCGAGGCATAGTTCGATTATTTGGCTGCGAAAACTGGTGATCGGATCGCGATTGTCCCTCACCGCCTGGACCTCCTCCCTCGAGCGATACGAGGTGCCCGGATCGGACATGGAGTGGCCAACATACCGGTATGTGCTCATCTCCAGGACAATTGGACCCTCCCTGAGGGCATAGTCCACGGCAAACTTGGTGGCACTGCGCACGGCCAGCACCTGATTGCCATCGACCCAAAGACCCGGGATATAGTGACCCCTCATGTAGAAGTCCGTCATGGCCGCGGCCCTCTTCTCGTGCGTGCCCATGCCATAGTGATTGTTCTCGCAGACGAAGACGCAGGGCAGGCACCACAACTTGGCCATGTTGAAGGACTCGAAGACTTGGCCCTGATTGGCCGCACCATCGCCATAGAGCACCACGCACACCCCATTGTCGTTGCGGTATTTGTGGGCCAGGGCCACGCCCGTGCCCACCGGAACCTGGGCACCCACTATGCCATTGCCGCCATAGAAGTTCTCGCCGTACATGTGCATGGAGCCACCTTTTCCCCGGCTGCAGCCCGTCCGCACGCCCAGCAACTCGGCCATTATCTCGTACAGGGACACGCCCATTAAATAGGTCCAGGCGTGGCATCGGTAGGCGGTTATCACCGAATCGCACTGTCGCAGGCACTGCTTCATCCCGACGGCCACCGCCTCCTGACCCGTGTACAAGTGACAGAATCCGCGGATCTGGCGCTGCTTATAGCTGTTCCCAGACACCGTCTCGAGGCGCCGACACTCTATCATCTTGATGTACATCGCCAGAGCGTCGTCCCTCGACAGCTCCACGTCCACCGTGGGTCCCGTCTCCAGATCGTAGCACTTGAACGTCTGCAGTGGTAAAGAATACCATTTCATTATGATTCGGTTAAGACTTATAATATATATATGTGTTTAATAAGCTTCCCTTTTCAGGGAGCTTCATTATTGGACCATTTAAGGAAACTTGGAAAACAATATATTCTTTCAAACTCAGTAAAGCTCGACCATCTATTATGCACAAGCAATACTTTATTTGAATTGATGTCCTATATAAAAATATAAAAAATAGTACAAAACCATGTTGCATTTAAAGAGGCCATTTGATTATTAATCACTCTGATTCGTTTGATAAAAAATATACGTTTAATGAGAATTTATAATGATAAGTTTATTTAAGGGTGCTTTATAAAAAATTTTAGGGAACTTGGAATTATAGTTCTCCAAGCTGAGTAATTATCGACACCCTACTTATCAATGGCGATACTTAATTTTGTAAGTGCATCCGTTGTGAGTTTAGTTTCGCGTTTACAAAATAACAAAATAAAAAAAATATATATGAAACAGAACTTCTGCTAAATCATGAAAAAGCAATTGGAAATTATAATGAAGTAAGGGCGCCAATTCTCATATGTGCATTTACCAGTCTCCTCGTATACGTTAAACAAAATTTAAATGAAGTAGAAGCTCAATAGCTGTGATCTGCTTCCAACTTGATTCACTTACATTCTCAAGGGTCAGGCAGCTACATTTTTGGCGCCTGAAGATCCTGGACTGGATATTGGTAGACAAAGAGTAGCGGACACCGCACCACCTCGTCAGCGAACGGAGTGGACTGGACCTCATCATTGAACACCTGAATGAGTCGAGCTGCCGCGTACTAGAATTTTGAAATTTTCCGTAAAAATGTGAGGCTTTTTACGGTCACTTAGTAATGCTAATAAACAAAATAAGTAAACGACATTAAAAGCAAACGCAACTGGAGCGAGATGGCAACTGTCACAAAACCGACAGGGATGCAAACAAAATGTTTGCTAAGATTGTCAATTTCGTAATAGGGAAAGTTCCTCAAAATCTTTTATTGTAATTGTAATTTGTAATTCACTAAAATTCGTGGCAATAAAAAAATAACATATATATATATATATACTCTTGATTATTTAAAGATCGTTGATCAAATGACATTTACGGATAATTTTATCAAAATTTACCACATTAAAGTATTTAAAAAGCTCTAGTTATCCAAAATTTATTTTTAGTTTACGCTAAGGTATTGTACTATGCCATGTTTGCCCAACAAAGAACATGTAAGCTACTTTTGAAATATTTAAAGGTAATACATGGGCTTTACAATTTGAATAAAATGTTTTTTCTTTAAATTTATCATCACAATAACACTATCGAAATGTAAATTTCGAATAAAATTGTCAATAGCTGCAGTTGCTACACTTTCAAAACCCATGTTACTCCTTTAAAGTATTTGTGATTCCTTTAAGACAACATCTTCAGTACCTTTTTCAATTCCAGCTACTTTCAGTTAGTAAGTTACAACTACATTTGGTTAATTTTTCTAGGTATGTATATTTTAAACAATTTACACCTTGCTTTATCCTTATTGAACACGTTAGCAATATAATAATATCCAATGCATTTCCCAAGAGTAATGTGGTGCGCTACGATGTGGGTTGGAGTGCTCCGATTAGCTAAGCTTTTGTGGGTCTCTTTTGGGTCCGATCTACGGGGTTCTCATCATTCAACATTCGGCTTAAGAGCTAGAGATTTCGCTTGTGTCTCAAGTGTCTGAGTTGTGTCTTCGTGTCTGTCTGTGTCTGTGTCTGTTTCTGTGTCAGTGATTGGTTTTGTTGGTTGGTGTTTCCTTCTTTTCCTTCGATTTAGTCTCTTGTGAGTTCCCGAACAAGATTCGTTGGCCCGTCGTGATTGACTTAGTGATTGACGCCCTTGCGCTCCTGGATGTGGTCAATATCGTAGGCGATGGTGCCGCGCAGCTTGGGCTCCAAGTTGTTGGAGTAGACGTCCGTCCAGAGGTGGCTCACGCCCAGTTCGGAATCCGATTTGGCGAAGGCGGTGGCCTCGTCGACCTCCTTGCGCACCTTCAGATCGATGGCCTGCAATATGGATATTTGTTTTAGATTTCATTTAACAATATTAAAAAGATTAATTGTCATCTACGCGTGAAATAACCTTGCTTTAGTTAAGTTGCTGACAAAAAACGAACTATATATTTTATTTTTACTGTTCCACTTACGTTATTAGTTAAAGAATCCTATAGAATTTAGTAATGTTAATATAATCATTTAAAAATATTTGCAAACTTGGTAAAATCAAATAAATACATATAAAGGCAATAGTTAACTTAATACTTTGGAAAATACATATATCATGAATCATCTTTCTAACAATATAGTTAAATTTCAATTATTCCTATTCAAAATTGTACTGTAAAGCTTTAAAACAAAGAGAGTAACTTGCAGACAAACAAAGATTTCTGACTTTCTTAACTGCGCATACTGATCTACACAATACGTGTCCCCAAAAATGCATATCATACGCACCTTGACTTCATCGGTGGTCATCAGACCCAGCTCGATGCACAGCTCCTTGAAGGAGGTGATGGGATCGCGCTTCTGGCGCACCTCCTGGATCTCCTCACGCGTGCGATACGAGGTGCCCGGATCGGACATCGAGTGGCCGGAGTATCGGTACGTATTGGTCTCCAAGACCAGAGGTCCGTGGGTGTTCACATAGTTGATGGCGAACTCGGTGGCACTGCGCACGGCCAGCACGTCCATGCCGTCCACCCAGATTCCGGGCAGAGCGTCGCCGCGAGTATAGTAGTCCGTGTTGCAGGAAGCACGCTCCGAGCTGGTTCCCATGCCTTTTGGAGAGGAAACAAAAAATACTCGATTAATAAGAAGCTAGGAAATATATCTAAAGACGGTGTAGCAGCTTTACATTTAAAACTGCCGCTGCGTCGTTTACAACCAGCTTAAAGCCAGCTTATAGTTATACAACCACCGAAGTTGCTGTTCTTGACTAAATTAGGTTTATGTTCATAAATTTACTCCTTCAAGAAGCTTGGAAACAACTCAAACCGCAGCTGTTATTCAAAACTGCCGCTGCATCGTTTACAACCAAATTAAAGCTCTATGGTTTTACAACCAACGCAGTTTTTGTTCTCGATTAATATAGGTTTTTGTTTATGAAATTACTCTGTTAAGGAGCTAAGAGACAACTCAAAAGACTGGTTATCGGTGAAGCAGCTGTATCGTTTACAACCAATTTAAAGCTTTTTACTTATACACCCACCGTAGTTGTTATTCTCGCAGACGAAGATCACGGGCAGTTTCCACAGATACGCCATGTTGTAGGCCTCGAAGACCTGTCCCTGGTTGGCGGCACCATCGCCATAGAGGGCCAGGCACATGCCGCCATTGCCCTTGTACTTGCAGGCCAGACCAACTCCGGCTCCCAGGGGAACTTGGGCACCCACGATGCCGTTGCCGCCGTAGAAGTTCGGTGCGTACATGTGCATGGAGCCACCCTTTCCACGGGCACAACCGCCCTGGACACCAGTGAGTTCCGCCAAAACGCCAGCGGGCGAGACGCCCATCAGGTAGGTCCATCCATGGACGCGGTATGCCGATATGATGTTGTCCACATCGCGCATCGCCGCCTTCATGCCAACGGCACAGGCCTCCTGGCCGGAATACAGATGACAGAAGCCACGGATGATCTTCTCCTTGTAAAGATTACCCGCCGCCGTCTCCAATCGCCGGATCGTCTGCATCTGTGTGTAGTACTTGAGGGCCTCATCCTTGGTCAGTTTGACTTCCGTGGCGGGTCCTTCGTCGAGGCGGTGCAGCTTGAAGGGCTGCCAAAATGGGAAAAAACATATATGTATGTATAAAATGATATGCATTCAGTTTTAGATATTTCCTTATATTTGCATTTGTATATTTTTATAATCATCGCTCGTTGAAAATTTAATTTTATTTGTTTTAATTCATACCTTTTTAAAATAAACATATGATAAACTTACATGAAATCTTTATCTTGTAAATTACTAACTAATTCTTCCAGTTCCGGTTTTTTTTTCGGAAGTACTTCACAAAAATGACCTAGCTTTGGTTTTTTTTGCTGATTTCATTTATGATGGCTTATTTATGGCGTGAGAATCGAGTCAACGTAAACAGAGAGAGAGAGAGAATCGGGGGATTTGAGATAAGACTTAATGTTTTATAGTGCGTGAACAGTCACGCGGCGGCCACGCAAAGAGCAGACGGCGATAAAGAGCGTGGGAGATGGAAAACTAAAAAAAAAAAAAGATTACTTCGTGACCTTGTCATTTGAAAATTAAATTGACCGGCAAAAACGCAACCCTGCATTTTACACACACATACCAAAATGAACCGTTGCTATCTGCCAGAAAGCGCATTATGTAATCTTTCTTTTTTTCTTTTTTTTTTTTTGTATTTCATATATAGTTAATATTCAATATATATCTTACTTACCCGGTTCACTGAGATGGTGGCCTCCGTGGCATAATTGTTCGATTTTGAAACACCTGCTTGGGCTGCATTCTGGAATAGACCGAAAAACGACGATGAATATCTTCCATTTCCGATGTTGTTGTTATATATCCTCCTGTTGGTGTTGTTGTTATGCTTTTTGTTTTCATTTTTTTCGGGTTCGTTATTTTGGTAGTTTCAAATTAGTGATATTAGTGGGTGTAGAAAGGGGTTTACGTACTTTTTGCAGTTGCTTAACAATAATGGGCAATTCGCTAACGCGTGACAGAGTACGCAACATATTCGCTGTTTTTCTTTTCTCGTTTGACTGATGGAAAAATCGGTTGTGAATGGGCTTCCTATATAATGGGTTTATCCGGATCTAATCACACGATTTATCTGTCTCAGTCGCACCGCCGCGCGTCGTTAAAAACCGCAAAAAAAAGTTGCGATTAGTTTATCAACTTCTATATTGCACAACAACAGTGTTACCGCGGAGAAAATATACCATCAGAAAATATGTTCCCTTTTAATACCATTTCAAAATACTAAAAACTAAGCCGAGTTTCAAACCATCAATGTTACCGTTTTAATAATTGTCATTTTCTAATTTTGTGTTAAATATTTAAATTTAAAGCATTTGTAAGCCCTTTTCTTAAGTAAGAGATCATTTTATTAAAAGGAATTTTTGTAATTTATTTCCTTTTCAGTTGTCAGATTGCTTTTTAATATTTATTGCTTTTTAATATTTTTGACCGCCAAGTAATACGCACTAATGATTTCAAAGAAGTACTTTTATTTCACATTGAAGATTTCATTTGGTTTTCTTTCTTTCTCATTTCTTACTCGTATTGTTACTTTGAAATTGCCTTCATTAATCCACATTCGCGATTGCAGTTGCATTTGCGAATTCCGTTTTTTTTTTAAACGCCTCAACTCACATAATTTACTAATCTCTTACAAAAACTAAAGTAATGTTTGTTTCTTGCACAAAAATCCAGTTAAATAGAAATAGACAAAGTAGAATATTAAACAGGTAAGTCCAAATAAATGGTTTACGAACTAAGTTTTAAACTAGTTTTTGTATTTGTTGGTTTTTCGGTTTGTTTTTTGTTTTTTTAAGAAATGGCAGCTACAAATTTGAGTTTCAAAAGTTACTACCGGAAAATGAGAAAATGGATTGATCAATTGCAAAAAAACAACTTGAAAAAAGAAAAAAATCAATTTTACACTTTCTTCATTCCTCTTCTTTGCTCTTATACCGTTAATTTTTTTTGCGTTTTTCTGGTTTCCATTTTCTTGTTACATCAAAAATTGGTTTCTCACACAAATATTTTTCATTATGACAAAAAAGTATGCTCTTTTTTATATGTATACATATATATATATATTTTTATATATATTTGTATATATAAACACTTATTAGAAGTCCTCGTGTTTTTTGTGTTTTTACTTGTTTTCCGTTAGAAATTCGCCATTCTGATCTTTAAGAAAAAAATTGGTTTTCATCCTTTTCCTTAATATTTTTTGTTTGTGAGTGTATGTGTGAGTGTGTGTGGGAGGAGTGTGTGTGTGTGTGAGTGAGAGAAGAGGTCGTATCCTTACCGTAAGCATAAATAGTTTTGTGTCTACGCAAAAACGTGCTGAGCAATAATTCTAAAAACGCAATAGCTAAATAGAGAGAGGTGCTGTATGTGTGTGTGAAAGGTATCGGTAAATGTACGTACGTGTCCTTTTGTTTGGGTGTGGATTTGTGTAAGTGCTGCATATGTATTATGTCTTCTGTTAGGAAATTACGTATTAAGCTTCATTTTTTTTCGATTTTTAGTAGGTTTTACTTAAGTTCTTGCTTAATTTACACCAATGTTTACTTTATTTTGTAATTCTTGCATGAATATATATATTTTACTTTGTTTCTTATTTACTGTTAGCTTTCATTCCTTTAAATTTTCTGCTTTTTTGCATAACATAAATCCGATTCGAAGAAACACATAGCCACACATTTATATAAACGACAAGATGATAATTATATTTTCCTTGGGTTGTTCTTGTTTTTTTTTTTGCGTTTGCTTTCGGTTTTCTCCGATTTTTTCGCTTTTTCGGTTTTATTACTGCATGCAGTTTCTACAAAAATGTTTGTTGCATACTTTGCTGCTGTGGATGGACAATACATATACACATACACACATAATATTCGGTTTGCGTGCAATTTGTTGTTATTGTTGTATTTTGTTTTTGTTGTTGGCTAGCAACCCAGAGAAAAAAGCAAGGAAAAGGATTTGATCAGGAAAACAGGAGGTAGATATAGGGTAAATAGGCGAAAATAGGGGGCATTTTTGGGGTGGGAAAATCCATGTCCAAACACACACCGATTTGGCTTTCTCGTAAGCAATGAATAATACATTGCTCATGTACACAGAGAGAAAGAAAGACGGTATTATTTATTTTTAGTTCAAATAAATAATCTCTAATTTTGTATATCAATGTAGAACCTCTTATTGTTCAACTTTATGGATGACAGTACATTGATATCTTAAAAATATTATTTCAAGAATTGACATTATTGACATTATTAAAGAACGTAGTTACGAGATAAAGGTGTTGTTATTTTTCGAAAAGTAATATTCGGAAAGTATATTCACATTAGAAAAAAATATGTTTCAAAATGTTAAAAAAAAAATATTTTTCTCTGTGTATCTATTAGGTGTGCAAAAACGTGTCTGTGTGTGTATGGTGTGTATGCAAATTTCACATTATAATATTTTTTTCTTATATTTTCTGCTTGGTTTTCGTTTACACGTTGAGAGTTGAGTTCAATACACATAAATAATCCATCCGACAGAAAAATATGTGAGTTTTTCTTACACAATTTTTATTTATCCTTAACTTGCTCGTTCGGTTGCAGTGGTGGTTGTTGCCTGTGCTATGTGTAAATTGTGTGTGTGTTGTGGGTGGGGGGGGAAGGTGGTTCTTGCCTCTGTTAAGCTCCAACGAATATAAAATAAAAAACCAGAAAATAATAAATACAACACTTGGGTTTTTTGGTTCATTTCTAGTTAACATTTGTTTAATTTTGCATTTGCAGGGAATACATGTAAATCATAAGGCCAAACAAAGCGCCAGCACATCATACATTTGTAGCCAAAGAAAAAAAAAGAAAAAAGAAAAAAAAATAATTATTCAGAAGTAATAATCATGGGGCAGCACGAATTCAATCCCAATTTACAAAACATTTTAATCGAGGAGGTTGTGTGGATGAGGAAATGATGATTACAAAACTAAACAGCGTTGGTTTCCATGCTTTTCCTTCGAGTGTTTATTGCATGTTTCTCTATTAGCGCTTTTATCCCTTCAGCGTGACACATAATGTAAATAATACCGCCAAGCAAATGGATATTCCTTGCATTCGATAGACTTGCTATATATATGTATACGGTGCGTGCTTGTGTATCTGTGGTTTTTCTGTGGGAAAGAGCATCGACTATGGATCTTTAGCTTTTTGGGAGACTGATAATGCTCGTTGTTCTTCCTCATGATCTTCCTCCAGTTCGGCTCGTCGACAACTACTACAGCTGGTGGCATCGCTATCCTCCACAATGGTGCCATCATCATCATCATCGTCGTCGTCATCATCGTCTTCGCCCTCGCCTTCCTGGTCATTATTCTCCCCATATTCTAAACCCTGATCCTCAGTTAGTTCCATATCCGAATCTTCTGTGTGTTGATGATGTTGTTGTTGTTGTTGGTCTTCCTCTGGCTGTTGCTGCTTAAGCTCCTCATCCGGTTTATCGGTCATCATTTCCGCATCCTTGAGAAGTCCTAGTTGCTCTTTTCGCTGCGGCTGTTCTTGCTCTTGTTGTTGTTGTTGGTGCTGTGTTGTTTGCTGTTGTTGTTGTTGTTCTTGGTTATGTGGTTGTTGCTGCTTCTGCTCTAGATCCTCGTCCTCTGATGTCCCGAAATGCGACTGCTGACCCTGCTGTTGTTGTTGTTGTCGGTGCAGTTGCTGCATCTCCATCAGCCTCCTCACCACCACTTCATCCGACTCGACAATACTTTAACCGCTCTTAAACAATAAAATGGCCACCTGGCCCAAATAGAAATAGATGAAGTGGCGCGTCTCGTGGGTGACATACGATCCAAAGTTGCGGCCCACAATGCAATGCCATGTGGGATTGTACTTTTTGTCGAACTCCTTCTTGATGTAGGCCGCAATGTCCTGTAATCGAATGGGAAACGAATGATGCATTAGTCATTTGGTCTTAAAATCTTTTATTTAAAATCATTAGGCTCTTAAGTAATAAGTGTTGACTTAATATTGCTATATTTTTAATAGATCGTGCTTATTTCTAGGAAAAGTATAATCAAAAACTTTCAACAATTCCCCTTTACAAATTAATACAAAAATAATAAATAAAATAATAAGTTTATCAAATAATTATTTTTAAATGTCTCCAAATATTGTACAGCTAATTTATATGTTTACTTATCAATTTTATAAACATTGTAATTGTTACATTAAAGTTCCTTTCAATTTTAAAACATTTTGAATTAATAAAAGTTTAACTTGCACTCATTTTGATGGCAAATCATAATCCAAAATAAATGCCTTTTTTTGGTGCATTGCTTGCAATTCAATTTCGCAGTGTCTATTACACGTTTTCCCCTGTGCAGCTGCCAAATTGTCGGACAAGTTAACGCCAAATTCCATAAAGCTGTCAAAAATGCATTGGCAAGAGAGACAACTAAAACCGAAGAAAAAAAAATTGAAAACACTGTAAGCAGTAAGCGAGGGGAAATGAAAAACAATGCCTAAGTAGCTGCTAACTGTTTCGAAATTAGCGGCAAACGCGGCAAACTCAATAAAATGCCAAACGAAAACTCATTTCCCCCCCGCCGGATTTTCCTCCTGGTTTTCCCAAACCAAGGGGGCTCTGTCACTGGGGCAACCCAAAATGTGACCTCAAAAACAAAAAGCAAGCCACATTCAAACGGGCGAGTGTCGAGGTAAAAGTTTTTGTGCTAATGAGTTAGTTATGATTGTTGTGGGTGCTCTCGCTTTTCCTCGCATTAAACAATTTGGTAGTAATTAAAGCCCAGTTTTGGAGGCACAGGCTAATTATGTATGTTCACACTAGAGAACCACAACGTGAATGCGGCTAAAAAGGGGAATAATAATGAGAAAAGCGAGTATGGAAATGTCGAAGAAAGAGCGGAAATACATAGCGCAAAAAGGGGTAAGCAAAAACAAGTGCTAAAGTGGAAAATGAGGATATAAAATACTAGAAGCACTGCGTTGAAACACATGCAGTTTAGTTTGCCAAATGTCAAAGGTCATTGTCAGTCGCTTTGGCGCTTAATCCAGGGTTACGCAAACAAAAACGCAGCAGCCGACATCACACACACATATTAATATTTATATAGTAAAAGTACAAGTACAATGGAGGTCAGATAAATATAAAACCAAATTTCTCCAAGGAAACCTTAAGAAGCTCAAATTGAGCTTGTCATACAAAATAGTTAAAATATCGTTTGTTTTAAATAAGGCAACACGTAATGATTTATTCTTTAAAGCTTATATTGAAATACAAATTAATATTACATCGTATTTTGATCAATTAATTAAAATTTTGTCAATAGAGTTTTAGATATTAAAAACTTTTAGAGAGGTTGAAGTACCGCGTTTGAATTATCCCTTCAAAAACAAATCCCAACTCAACATGACAAAAACTCCTTTAGCCTAGATTTTTGTCAACTTAACACGACCTCATCTGTGTTTTCCAAGCTCTGTTGGCGAAAACGCAAAAGAATGCAAAAAGTAGATGAAAATATAGCTTTAAAAAACTACAGCATGAATGGGAAGAATAAAATTGTTCTGTTCCGAAAGTTGAGGCAATCTGAAAGTTTTGCTTTTGCCATACTTTTGGGCGCCACATTTGGAGTTGATTTCATTTAGTCATGGGCGGGTCAAAACGGGGATTGAATTTTTTTGGGCAAGCCAAGAAGAAGGTAGGGCCACCGTTCTTGCAGGGGGGGGAATGCGTGCAAGCAAAGTCATAAACTTAACCCGGTAACCCCAAAACAAAAACGAACCAATAATGAAACAAACAGGACAAGCGCAGAAAAGCGAGAAAGCCTCAAAACAAAAAACAAAAAAAAAAGAGGAGAAGTAAAAACAATAAAAAGCTGATTTAGTTGAGTGCCATTATCCAATTCCTTCTTTTAGCTATGCTTCAATCAAAGTTGTCGTCATCATTGTCGTGTTATACAGTCGTACTTCTTTAACTTAATCCTCTACTGCATTCTCTATAAACAACAAACAATATAAGAGGCAATAGTTTTTTTTCACAATTTTTCATAGAAGTTGTAATAAACAATTTGTCCTTTGTGTGGGTAGCAATGTTTTATGGAAAAAGAATCTTAGCTGGAGGATTTTATATTATAGTTTTTATATATTTTTCGATGGTTTGTTTTCTTAAAGTCGGACTGTAATGGAATCCTTTAGCGATCATTGCTATTAAGTCATCCCAGCTGTTCTCTATTTTTTTGACTTTCTTTTGGGCCCTTCTTTATATTTGTTATTTGTTATTATTTTTTTTTTTGTTTTTCAGCCTATTGCGTGTACATTTTCGTGTCGTGTCAGACGACAATATAAAGTTGATTGTTTTATATTCAATTTGGTTTGGGGTGAGGCCTCTTTTGCAACCGCCCCCATAGCAATGCCATGGAATTTTGTTTTGGCAACGTCAAAGATATTCAAAATGAACATTCTGACACACAAAAGCGGCAACAGTGGGTTAAGGGTGGAATACAAATCAAGTGAGTTGAATTGGTGTTTTTTTGCACCACTAAATAAGGCTTTGGTGGCATGTGCATATATACGATACATACATATATACACAACATATTGTTTGTAGCCTAATGAAATCGACATTGCAATTTTGGTCATATAATTTGAGAAGTTTAAGGAAGGCAGGAAAAACTGACACGTTTTGGCAGGAGTGAATACTTATTTTTGATTCAAATAAAAAGGATTCATACATATAAAGTATGTTTATATACCATTTAGTTTATTAGTAAACTAAATAGATAATAAATTAAATGTGTTTTTAGATAAAATAAAATGATAGATAAAAACCAATTTATGAGATAATAAAAGGTTTTAGTCTCAGCACAAACATTTTCTTCACTCTTAGTTAACAAAATTTTAAGATTACAAATTCTGAAATATTCTTTCTACTTTTTTCAAAATGTCACAAAACCTTTTTCATAAATGGAAAGTGAGAGCTAGCATGAAAAACAAAACAAAACACTTTCAGAGCCTTCAATTAAGTCGTGCAGGAAACGCTGCGATAATTCCCTGTTCATTTAGACCACACCTGGAAAATATGCCCAGGATTTTGAGCCCCAACAAATATGCCTGGACACGTTTGAAGCAATGGAAAAACGTACAGAAAGAGGAAAAACTCCGCATTCGATGAATGTGTGTCAATAAAAATGGATGCATGTGCATGTGTTTGTTCTTTACACACACACAATCTATTTACATACAAATAATCGTCTGCTCGCCGTATATTGATTAAACATTTTGGCCACGCAAAAAATCACAAGCAAAACCCATAAAAAAATGTAATAATACAAAAATGCATAAACTTCCCGCAACGATTGAATGCAAAAATCTTTTTCTCCTCGTTTTAATATTATTTTTTTTTTATTGCTTATTTTTTTATAGGGTTCCGCCCTTTGTGCGACACAACTAGACCATACAAAAAATTGACTGAAAGGACATCACAGCGTAAAAACCAAGAGGAAGTTCAACCACCCAACGAAAAACTAATTAAAAAAAGTTTTTAAAAGCTTTATAAAGCAGATTTCGTTAAGTGCAATACAAAATTCCGGTTTTAACAAGTTCTCCATCAAAGTTGTCATTTGCATCGTAGTATTTATATTAATTTGAATTTCCCTTTGTCTCATTTTCAGTAAATCTACCTAAATAAGGTGGTTAGCTATAATAAACTTCATAGACATCTACAAATTATTCTTACTCATCATTAGGGCGGACTTTGATTCACTTAAGCAACGTTTCTATTTCCAAAATCTAAATAATTTTACTATTTAAATATCATACGTTTTATAAAAAAAAGTTTATGTCCATTAATCGGTTAAATTGGTGGCTACGAAATTATTATCTATTTAATAAGAATTTCGTTTCCTGTACTTTCCCATTTCAAGCTAATTAAATTTATTTTTAAAAACTTAAGACCATAAAATAAAAGAATTGTAAATTCATTTTCTGCCGTCCTGCTGCTTTTTTCCTCTTCCATTTAATTTTTTTTTTGGCCCTCTTGTTGGCTTATTTAGGGCTTTGCCTTTAAATCGCGGCTCACACACACACACAGCTACAAAAATACATTGAAATACTGGAGGCAACATAATGCCTATGGATACGATTTAAGCTGCTTGAAAGGTTGCGCGCCCCTAAAAATATATACACAAGGTACAACAAAATCAGCAGCAGCAGCAGCAGCACCAGTGGGCCAATGTTTAACCCTTATGTTCCCCAAGGAGGTGGCATAAGCCCCCGAGCCCCCTTTCTTTGTTTTTTTTTTTGTAGTATTAGTTGCGTATCTAATGGATACCAAAAACTGTTTTTTACCAACACCCCAACCCACACCTTTTGTGTTTCGCTATGATTGGAATTTTGAACTTATAATCAGATATGAAAAATATTTGGGAAATCGAAAGAGGATTTTTTTCGCCGCACTAAGCAAGCAGGTCAACTATTGATTCAAAACAATATTGGCAAAACAACTGCCATTCAGCATCATCTAAAGGTTAAATGTCGCTACCACAATATTATTCTATTTATATTTTTTATAATTTTCCCTCAGTCGCTGGCAATTTTAAAATTTTCATCTAAGCAATTAAATTTGTGTGTTCACCTCGCAGCAGCAACAGCAAAACCAAAAATCCATATTTAATTACCTACAAAAAAACGTACAGACACAGTGAAAAATAATGGCTAACTTATTATTATGCAATAAGCATTGGGAAAAAAAAGAGGAAGAGAAAGGGGAAAAGAGAAAGGAGGAGTAAAGACAAAAAGGCAATCAATCGTGTGGCATATATTTTATTTATAGCAAGAAGAGGTAGGCTCGAAATGGGGAGTGTTTCAGGTGTTTTTTGCATTAGGAGTGGGCGTTATTATACCAACCCCCTCCCCCTATATTCCACCACCACCACCCCCCCCTCACCACAATGACAACATTCGCGAGAAGTGTGCGAGTAAAATCAAAAACTGTGGCATACTTTCAGGCCCTCAGGTCCTGACGAATTTAGTGAAAATCAATTAATTTGTACTCCTAAACAACTTGAAAAAGTTTTAAAAAAAATTAAATTTTAATGCCATTATATTCTGATATTTACTTTGTTTAAAGTATTAAAAAGAAAGAAATAATATTAATTACTTCTGCTTGATAAAACATTTTTTTATCCCGAGCGTTTTTAAAAAAATATTTTATAGTATCATTGCTTCTTCAATAAATTTCATATTTGACTTTTTCAAAGACTTTTTAAAAACTGTAAGTTCTTTTTCTAATTATGAGTGTTGCCACAATGTCATATATTGTTGTTTTCAAACTTGTTAAATTCAGGATTTATTCACATAGAACATTGAAATAAAGTTTTTAAAAATATATGGCCCAAATTTGTTTGTTAACCGATATTCACTGTGTACGCACATTTTGCTTTTACTGCTCAATTAGCAGAACCTCTCTCTCTCTCTGGATTCTTCCTCCCCCTGGCCTTTTATCCACTTCCGCTGTGATTTCAAGTTTACTTTCCTTTGCTTTGGTTTCAAGGACCCGCGTTCTTTTTCCCACCATCTCCTTTTCCATTTTCCCGGTGTCTCAGTGTGTTGTCTTCTGCCATTGGCATTGACAAAGGGGCGCTAGTTGATGGCAATCCCCCGCAGCTTTCCGCCTGCTTTTCCTCTGGGTTTTCCTCTGGCTTTTCCCTCCCTCCATATTTTTCACTGACCTCAGTCAGGGTCCGCACTTTGACCAGCGAACACGTTTCATTGACACGGCAAACAATTTCTATAGCTTTTTCAAAATTCTGCACTATCCATCTTCCCAATTATTTGAAGATTTCGATATGTTTCCAAATTTTTAAAAGGATTTACACATACTAGAATAAAGAGAATACACATTATATATAAAATTAGGTATATTAAAAAAAAAAAATACAAAAAAAAAAACGGAATAGTTCATTATATTGTACATTTTTTTCTACCTATATATATTAAAAAAAAAAAAACCTTTACTTCGATAATAATTATCTAGTTTTTGTTGTACTCCGAGAGTTCTTAAAATTTTAATTTTTTCTCTGTGTACGTAAGTAGTGTATGTGCTTGGCAGTTTTCCTTCAAACGCAGTACGAATGCCCCCCGTCTATCTATTGATTATTCAATTTCTTCGACTTTGTTGACATTGTTGGCTGATTTTGTTTTTGTTATTGTTATTGTTGTTCTTTGCATCCGCAGTTCACTAAATCAAGAACTTGCTTTAGTTGTTTTTTCTCCCCAACGTTGGACATTGTTAATGATGGTCAGTCCTCCGCCGATTTTCCGAATTCCACACCACCACCTCTTTATCAGGGCTACTTTTCAGCCGAAGGTCACTCACGGAACAGTGTTGCTCTTAATCTCAACAAAAACATAACTATGCTCTTACTTTCTTATGCTTGCCACTAAATCACAAACTTTGCGAAATTTAATTTAGTAATAGATAACAGGTACTGATTATTTTTTTTGGAACATTTATCTGTGAGGTACCCCATAGAAAAAATTAATATCTTTTCACGTACATTTTTTTTACAAAAGTTTTCTAAAAACTTTTTTAAATCTTTCATTAAAAAAAATTTTATTTTGCAAATTGCAAATATGCGGTATCCAACTGTTAATGGAAAAGGCTTGGCCTTTGCCATAAAATGCAGCTGGGATGATGATAAGGGCAAAGGTTAAAAGTGATAAAATTACAAAAATTCCCGGAAAATGCAGGCAAATATTGCACATTGTTTGTCAAAGGAGTTTTCCACCCGTTGAGAGAGCAAAAAGGAAAGGAAATCTGAGACGCAGTTGCTGTGAACGTAGGATGTGCGGGTGGAAATGGATGTGGAAATGGAAATGTGGGAAGGCGGCGGTGGGCGGAATTGAACGAAAGTGGGTGGAAAATCCAAAGGCTGCAACGCAAAATTGTGAAATTGCCAAACGCAGTAGAAACCACAAGTTTATAGTTGGGTTTTATGTTTCAAAGCCCAAGATGCAACAATGTCCGAAAGAGATCGAACGTCGAAAATAAAGGCATTTAAATCCAATTTAATTACGGTTGTGGAGCAAAATAATAGTCTCTAATTTCAAATTACCTTATTTGGTAAATAATAAACAAAAGCCTTTAATTAAATTGGGTTTTGGTCGGTATTTATCAAATTTATTTCACAAGTAATAATACGTTTGTAATTTAGCAAATGCGCGTTAGTTTGTTGATATTGAAGCGAATTGAAATCGTACAAACTGAACTTGTAGTTTTCTGTTGATTAATTGATGACCAACAAACTTAAGTAATAAATACAATTGGGCGCCAAGTTTTCCACCCACAAAAAAAACACCTGTTGTGCCTGGCCCCTGCTCTTTTTCAAACCCTTTAATCAGTGGATTTGATTACATGTGAGTCCTTTTTATTTTTATCAATTGAATGTCTACCAATGGCACTCATTTAAATGGCTTTATTTATGACCTAAGCTACACTATTTTAATATTATGTTTTTGTCATTTTATTTCCTTACTTGAATGATAGCATTTAGCTTTTTAATTGGAACGATTAATTAATTAATGACGGATTACTATGATTAACATCATACTTTATCGACCAAAGAATGTATTTTAAAGCCCTTTAAAATGAGATGATATTATTATAAGAAATTACCTATCCTTTCTATATTATTTTGGATACTAATTTAATATTAACCCACATTATATTACAAGGATTCTCTCTTATTTGTTATGGTTCTAAGCTCACCTTCTCAATGTTGTACTTCTCGAGGGCCTGTGTCGCACAGTCAACTGCATCCTGCTGCATCTCCTCGCTCATGTCGGCATTTTTAATAACGGCCTTGCGATCAGACATTTTGGCTGATGTTTTTCTCTGTGATTCACCTGGACTCAAATCGAACTCCTTGAATTTTGTGAGTGCTTTTGCTTGTTGGCCTTATAACTGAAAAGATATGGTAGAGAGAGAAAGGATGAGCAACGCCACTGGTGAGAGCGAGCGCATCGTGAAACGTTATTAGCAATTTCATTAATTAAAGAGCGGGATTTAACCAAGTTAGCTCCAACACATCATATTACACACACACAACGAAAAAAAAGATGCTCGATTAGTTTGTAGTGTTTTTTCACTCAAGACGGTGCTGTAGAAATCTCCAGGACTCAAATGCAACAACGAATTTTTAAATTTTTTTATTTAAATAAATATAATTTTAATATCAAATACAAAAGTTCCAAAAAATTATAAAAATATAAAATGGTGGTTCTATTTATCATTCATATCATATATCATTTTATTTGATGAGATTGATATTATCTTTATAAGGTTAAAGGGTTGAAAATATATACAAATCTACAAATCTTTAAAATAAATATTATATTTAAAAATATATTACAAGAAATATAGGTTAGGGGTTTCGCTCCGTGTACTATATATCAACGCAGGCGCATTGCATACTTTTTCGGGACAGTTTGCTCACACAGCAGAATGTCCTGGCAATTTAATTATAGAAACACAAGCAATACAAGCGGCAATATTACAAATCAAATATCAGGATCCACAGGATGACATGTTAACATACACACAAAGAGAAACACGCATACCAATGCCAATTAGCAGGCAATACATATACATGTGTATGCTTTTAAGTTTGGGAGAACGAGCGAGATGGCAGCAATGCAACATGGCCTTGAACAGATGCTCTTTTTTCTCACTCTCGCCCACGCACACATATAGGGCCATGACAGGGAGACTGCAATAACAACTTATTCAAATTCAAGGCTCACCCACATGCACACATACATTTACCTCATATCGCATTTACTCTTTTTTGTAGCATACTTTTGCGAGCATCGCTTATTAGTTGCGAGAATTCACAGGGAAAGCATTGCAGACAGCACACAATACCAAAAGCGCTGGGCAATGTGCAATTGCAACCTCAAAATCAGTGGGTGGAAATTAAGGGGCATAAGCGGGGTGGTACTGCAAAGCAACCGCAACCAAATGCAGTCGCTAGGATACGAATAAGGTACCCTTAGGTATCCTTTGTACTCCCATTTCTCAACCAATAGTCCCCTCATTTACGAAACACCGAAGTTAAAGCCACCAGTAAAGCTAGACATAAAGCTAATATAAAAATCGCTCAATTAGGGTTTTTTTGGTGAAAAAATTTCGAAGTACAGTTAAGTTACCATAAAAACAATCTCAAGTAGTTAATACAAAAATTTTATCTAAACCTTGGTTAAACTTGAACACTTTAAAATGAGTTAAAATTAAAAAAAAAAAATGTATAAAGCTAAATTTTCCAAAGGTAAGTATCATTTTAAAATAAGACTTAACATGCACATAATTTATCTAATAAAATTAAATAACATTACACTTTATGTTTTGAAGTATTTCTTATAACGAAATTTCGATCAATTTATGTTAAATTATTTAAAAAAAAAAACAAATAAAGAAGGGTCCTTGAAAATAACCAAATCACAATAAAACTTTCTTACTTTCAAACTTAATTTTAATTGTATCAGCTTTTTAAACTGCTTTAATGTGCATGGAAACGATTTCATTCAAACAGCAAAACATGGTGAAATATGCGATTTAACTTTTAAAAGTTCGATTTATTTAAAAACCCCTCTTTTTCTTTTATCTCAAAAGCGTTCTTACTTTCCGAAATTTTTCAATACAACTCCGACTACCTGGTATGGTATCGTTCATCCTTAGAAACAGATTCGATTCGCTCTTCATTCAGAAACAGATTCGAAGCCAATTTCAGTAGTTCTCAATGTTTTTGTATATTCGACGTGTTTCTTAAAGCAATTTGTTTCCTAATGAAATTTGATCGATTGAGCATGTTTGTTCGTGTATTTGACGTTTGACAGTAAAGTGCAGGGCAAATCATAACGGTTTGTCTGTGGGCGGGAAAGATAGAGTAGGAGCGGAAGTGTGGGAGTGAAAGGGAGACAACTGAAAGTTGACAGGTGGGCAAATGGCAATGGAGTGAGTGGGATGGCATGTGTGTATGTGTATGCTACAGCTTCCTCTTCTTCTTCTTGCTCTTTTGATGAAGTCAATTAGAAAACTGCATTGACAGTTAAACAGAAAGAAAACTGAAGAGCGGTAGAAAGAGAGGAAAGACAGGAAGCGGAAGAGAAAAGTTATATATTTATGAGCAAAAAGCGCAATGTTCTGTTTTATTTTTGGGTTCAACTTTTGCCATGAAATGAAATTATAAGCGACAGGATGACAGCAAAGAGAGGAAAAGCGAGGGAGGCGTAGGGAGTGGGAAAGAGAGAGGACATGCACCTGCAAGTATGCAACGGTTTTAACACACACGCATACGCAAGGTAATTGAATTTCACGTTCGTTTGCAACCCGAAACCCGCGAATATCCAATGCACAAATCACTTCTAATTAGGGAACTTTTCTTCTTTCACAGATGATCGATGGACTTTGCGTAAATCGAAGCGGAAACCGCAAACCAAAATTACCTGCGTTTCTATGCATAATTAAAATGACGTCAACCCGAAAACTTGATTTCGCCGCAGCTCCAAAAAAATAGACACCTCCAAAAAAAAAAACCCTGTATTCCCACATATACAAAACACCATGGGAATTTTTCACATTATTAAAATTGCACAACGTTGCATTTTTGCATTCAAGCACATTCACACGGGCTTATTCTACCGTTTTACTATTTTTTATTACTTACCTTTTGTTTTTAGTTAATTGCGCGCGTTTATATTTCACTTGGAGTTCAACAGCTGTCACCGAAATTAGGGCTAATGGAATATAAAACTAGGAGCGTACAATATATATGCTAAAGGCTGAAAAAGCCTTCTTGTTTTTTTCCTTCTTGTTAGCAATTCTGCACGCAATACAAATTTGGCACGCCGCGGCTTTTTGCACTTTTTTTTATCGAGAACAGAGAACGTGAAAAAAAAGCATTTGAGGGAAAGCGTGTTCGTCAGGATTTCAAAGACCGATGAAAAAAAGAGACCCTAGCTATATGTGCGTGGGTGTTTTTACCGCTAAGCGAAGTCGCCTGGATTATATTGTGTTGGAATTGGAAACTGTTGAGAGCTGAGTGTGGCAGCCCGTTCGACTGGAACTTGGAACCACTGAGTTTGCCTGCTTGCGAGAAACTGGGTAGGCGAGAGAGACGGCTTCGATTTCGGGCCTCGGTATCGGTTATCGGGCGACCGCGCCGACACACTAGTCGAACGCCGCTGTGATTGGCTGGTTCCGGGCGGCGTCTGGCAGGCCGTGTCTGGCGGGCGGCTTCTGGCAGCGGTAATGACAGCTATCGGAGTATCGACTGGAGGTAATTAGTGCAAATACATGGGATTCCCACATGGAAAGCGATTCAGCGGGCCATCAATTGCATTCAAATAGTTATTAACCGGAATAACATATAAGTTATATTATAATTTCTTCGAGATCTGGCACTCGATACCTCGGCCTTTTCACTCGATAGGAAGTAATTTAAAACAGAGCATCTCTTTGGTCAGCGCTGCTAACGATAAAAACAGCTGAGTGGCGGGCGGTTATTGGTATTTCAAAAACAACTAAAACCCAAAAATATAAGGATTTTTTAAGAATAAGTATGTGTTATAAAATTCTGTACTGCAACCAAAGACTTGATCGCAAAAATTCATATTTTGGGGAGATGTGCGGAATGGTTATTGGTATTTTAGTAGGGAAAAACACATGGAAGGGATTTATTCTAATAAATAAAAGTCTGAACATTATCTTAAGTACGAAAATATGTTTTAAACCAAAAATTGTTCGTTCGATGACTAAAATTTTATATTCGATACAAAGTGTCTTGCATTTGATGTTTGCAAAATCGACAGAGTTGCTTACGATAAAATAACAGCTGGGCGAGCTAAAAATCATTAAATTTAGTTTATAACAAAAAATTTATTATTTAACAAAATAAACCTAAAACACTTTTTTTTCGAGTTGTTGTTATAAAAAATAAAGAAAAATAAATAAAGAACCTGTTACTCATATTTTTCAGGATTCGGAGATAAGAGCTAGAAACTATATTAAACATATATTTGTATGTTTATAATTGGAATAATAAAATATTAGGGCAAATAATAAAGACAAACACACATTAATTGCTTTGTTTTACAAGAATATCGATTTTACAACACGTATATTTGCTGAAAATGGTGTAATTACAAATGTTTTTTTTTAGGTAATTGTAAATAAAAAATAATGTAAAATTAGTGAAATACAATTATAAATAATATATCAACAATAAATCATGCAAACTTGTAAATTTAATATATGTGTCGGATTTAAATTCGAATTTGAAAATGAATACCAAAGCCACCCCAATAATCGTTTCCGGTTTGTGCAATTTTAGTTTAATATTTTTGGAGGAAATGGCAACACCCATTTAAGTATTCCGAAATATGGTTTTTAGTAATTTAATTTCTAAATTAAAAAAAAAACTTTTTAATACATTAATCGATCACAACAATCGCACATCACTGTTATCGATTAGCGTTTTTCCAGTATATCCCACACCTATCGACCATGGTATTTTCGTCCTACTTTCACAACGGTCACACGCTTTCTATTTGATTTCTCGTTTTTTTTTTTCTCATCTAACAATTTTTGTTAAACAATTTACCGTGAATTTTGTTGTTGTGTGTGTGGATGTGTTCGGGCTAGCGCAAAAAACAAAAGCGGAAAAAGTGCTGGGAAAATCGAATGAAAAGAAAAAAAAACAACGGCAGAAAATGCTGGCAAACAAGAAATCATCCAGGTGAAAACTGCGCGCCCTTCGTCTTCGCTAAGGAAAAAGGGGCGTTTTTCGTGCAATATAAACCAAAAACAAAGGATAATCTGCATGAAATCAAGGGAAACTCATCAATTTTGGCGGCCAATTTGCAAATACAAAATACTAAAATACACTACATGGATTACGCACACACACAAAGGCACTGGCGAACGTAAATAGACTACATACAGTTGTCTCACTTGCTCTACCTGCAAAAGCAAAGGCTGCCAGAAAGAGATAGGCTGATTTGCTTTTTCTTGTACTTCTATATATTTTTTATTGTTTTTTGTTGTTGTACGTGTGTGTGCGAGAGTGCCAAATGTCATCGGAAATTACAACACTGTAAGAAGAAGAAGCAGGAGCAGTAGTGCAACATAAACAAAACAAGAGGAAAATAATAATAAATAAAGAAAATGTTGCCCGCCAATAATAAAAGTAACACCAATATAAGTACAACCAGCACTACCAATACCAACAGATGCCTCATCCAGTCGGCCATTGAAAGAACGGTAGTTCGTCTACGGGAAACGGCAATTAGCGGTAACATTCAGGACTCCACAGAAGCACCATGCGTGGAATACGATATTATAAACTATTATGCAGAGAACAATAATAATAGTACGCCCAGAATTGCCGTTTCTCCGCGACAACAGCAACAGCAGTTGTCCTCTTTTCGCCACGGCGGCAACAATAACAATAACGGTGAGTGCCATCCAGCATTGGATGGATCCGGCAGTGTTGTTGTTGTTGCACCGGCAGCGGGAAAGGAACTAGAAGAGACAGAACGAGGAGTAACAGCAGAGGACATGGAAGTGGATGTGGAAGGGGGATCCCCAGTGAAGCCTTTTAACCCAAAAAGACAACAACAAAATCGTTTTAAAGGCGGCGGTGGAGCTTTACGCCGTTCGGCGGCAATCGTCCCAGCGAGATCACTTCCAGAGAGCAGTAGCAATTCCAATTCCAGTAGCAACTGCAGCTCCAGTGCTTCCAATCCCTGCTCTTCCCTTGGCGTTAATATGCGAGTAACGGGACAATGCAGCCAGGGCGGGAGGAAATACATGGAAGATCAGTTTTCAGTGGCCTACCAGGAATCTCCAGTCACGCACGAACTGGAATACGCATTTTTTGGAATATACGATGGTCACGGAGGCCCTGAAGCAGCGTTATTTGCCAAAGAACATTTAATGTTGGAGATTGTCAAGCAAAAGCAATTTTGGTCGGATCAGGATGAGGATGTTCTGCGGGCGATACGTGAGGGATACATCGCAACACATTTTGCAATGTGGCGGGAACAAGGTGAGCACAAATCTAATAATAATATTACAAAATAAACACTATTATAATGCAAAATAGAAATTAAAAAAAATATCCTTAAAAATCTAGTTAAAATAACTAAAAAAATGAATCTTTCAGGCTTAAAATTAAAATAAAAGTGAGAGAAAATATTAAAAACAAAAATCGTTTTGACATTAAACCTCAAACTTTTAAATTTTAGACAGTAGGAGAACTAAGTATATAAACTATAACAAATTTTCTTTATCTTGTTTGTATTTAGTATTGCATCATTTATTTGTTGTTCAAATCATTAGAGATGCAAAAGATTTTATAACTGCTTGTAGGTTCTTTTCAAACTTAGTGAATCCCCCCTTATTAGGGTTGTCATTGCGCTCAACAAAAAAAAATCAAAAAATGACCCCAACAGCTCCCTTGGGTTTCCCATCTCTAGGTAATTATGCAACTGTGTGTGGCGGTGACTCAACCATCGCTCAATTCGCTCATCTCTAGTGTCAGCCCACACTAAAAGATACACAGATGCAGATACACACACACTCAGTTATCGCTAGTGGAATATTCCACGGGCTTGCCATATGGCTGTACTCTTGCCAAGCATGGCAACCCCGACATAGGTTAGAGTGGGAACACTGTATGGCAAAGGCGTTTCGAAATGCGAGAAAGAAAGGGACAGGGAGAGAGAACGAGAGGGAGGAAAGAGAAAATAAATGTGTGCCCATTTCCTCTTCACATAACAAAATACACAGAAGTCCAAGGGATGCCAGAAATGTATATAAATGGATATCTGTGTGTGTGTGTGTGGGGGGGAAAATATCAATATTTTGATCATGTTTTGAAATTCCAGATAATCCATTTTACCGCCAAAAATGCAAGGATCTTGAAAAATAAAAAAATGTATTAAATAAGCTGTTGAAAAATCATTACTCATCGCCTCATTAAATATTTTAGTGAGATGTTGTCATGGTGACACAGATAATTTGCTTTAAATTTTGTAATTGCATTTTGCTTGCTTGGTAAAAACCCCAAAAAGTAAACATAAATTACCAAAATAAACTCGATTTTGTTTTGTTATTGCTGGGGCTTTATTATTTGTATTGAATCTCTAAAACCATCTCTTTTAAAAATGCATGATATTAAACTTAACCTAAAAAAAAAAAAGTTTGAAGCTTTTATAGTATGATTTGGAACTTTTTCATTGTTTATTTTAATATTTCTACACAATTTCATGAGGTGATGAAATCATTTAAAAACATTTTTAACGAAATATGTATGTATTAACAAAGATAAATAACTGATTTAGGGCACTCTAAATGACAAAGTTCTAGGAATAAATATATTTGGGAAAATGAATCACAAAAATGCCTTAGCCAAGCAAACTTTTGTAATCGTATTTAGAAATACAGATTATTTGTGCATTTTCTAATCTGATGTTTTCGTAACCCCATCCCGCAGAGAAATGGCCTCGCACCGCCAATGGACACCTGAGCACCGCCGGAACCACCGCCACAGTGGCTTTCATGCGTCGCGAGAAGATCTACATTGGTCATGTTGGTGACTCCGGGATTGTTTTGGGCTACCAGAACAAAGGTGAACGAAACTGGAGGGCACGACCACTGACCACGGATCACAAACCCGAATCGCTGGCGGAGAAGACGAGAATCCAGCGAGCCGGTGGCAATGTGGCCATCAAATCGGGTGTCCCCAGGGTGGTGTGGAATCGACCCAGGGATCCAATGCATCGCGGGCCCATCAAGTGGCGAACGCCAGTGGATGATATACCCTTTTTGGCGGTGGCCCGTTCGTTGGGCGACCTCTGGAGCTACAATTCCCGCTGCAAGGAGTTTGTTGTGAGTCCCGATCCGGATGTCAAGGTGGTCAAAATCGATCCCAGTACCTTTAGGTGTGTATTCGAGATCCGCATTTCCCTGCTTTACCATTCAATAATGTCAATAATCCCCCTGCAGATGCTTAATCTTCGGCACCGATGGCCTGTGGAATGTGGTGACTGCCCAGGAGGCGGTGGACAGTGTCCGCAAGGAGCATCTAATCGGCGAGATACTCAACGAA